TCCCAGCTACTTGGGAGGCTGAGGCAGAAGACTCGCTTGAGCCCAGGAGTTGGAGGTTGCTGTGAGCTGTGATGCCATGGCACTCTACCCAGGGGGACAGTTTGAGGCTCTGTCTCCAAAAAAAAAAGAGGCTTTTGTGCTCCACACTACACAGAAAAGAAGGTCAAATGGGAAATAGCCGGTCAGAAGAGAGGAGGGCCTGAGGGGCACCGAGTTACAACAGTGGAGTCTGTGAACAAATCAGTCTTCTGAGAGGGAGGGAGAGCTCACTACCACTGGAACAGCACCAACCACTCACAGGGATCCGCCCCCAAGTCCCTCCCTCTAGGCCCTACTTCCCAACATATCCACACTGGGCTCAAATTTTAACATGAGCTTTGGTGGGAACAAATATACCATAACACTATGTTTTTAGTGTTATTTGTTAAATAGAAGATTTTAATTTTAAAGTGGTCAAATGTATTTGTCTTTTTTATGGTTTTGAGTTTCAGCATTTTGGGGGAGGAGTGGTAGAGATTTACTTAAGAAATGTTTTTCTACCATTTTTTAATTTTTTCTTATTTTTTTTGACAGATTCTTACTCTGTCACCCTCAGTAGAGTGCTGTGGCATCATTATAGTTCACAGCAACCTCAAACTCTTGGGCTCAAGCAATTCTCTTTTTTTTTTTTTTTTTTGAGACAGAGCCTCAAGCTATCCCCCTGGGTAGAGTGCCATGGCATCACGATCACAGCAACCTCCAATTCCTGGGCTTAAGCGAGTCTCCTGCCTCAGCCTCCCAAGTAGCTGGGACAACAGGCACCTGCCACAATGCCCGGCTAATTTTTCTATTTTTAGTGGAGATGGGATCTTGCTCCTGTTCAGTCAGGCTGGTCCGGGACTCCTGAGCTCATGTCATCCTCCTGCCTCAGCCTCCCAGAGTGCTGGGGTTGCCAGTGTGAGCCACCACACCCAGCCTCTCTACCATTTTTTTGAGGGATACAGACAGAAGTGCACATTGACTAAATACGGTGGAACCTCCACAGCTGACCACCTCCTCAAGTTGACCTAATTTTCATAGACTGGACATGTACATATCAGCACAGTAGGCCTAGTTCCTTATGTTGACCACCTCCCTATGTTGACCAGTTTGTTACAGTCACTTGGGTGGCCAATTTCAGAGGTCCTAATTATGAGGAGTACTGTGTAGGGAACAAATGAGGCATTACAGAAAGTCATGTTTTTTCTAAACAGTTTAAAGTTTTGCTTTTTCCATCTAGGTTTCTAATTCTCTTGGATTTATCTATGGTGAGGGTTGGATAGTATTTTTCCGTATGGATAGTCAGTTGCCCAGCACCATTTCCTGAAGTCTGCAGCCTTTCCTGCTGTGCGTACAAGGCTGCTGTGCATGAGATGGTAGTTTCTGGCCTCTGTGTTCTGTTCTTTTTTTTTTTTTGAGACAGAGCCTCAAGCTGTCCCCCTGGGTAGAGTGCCGTGGCATTACAGCTCACAGCAACCTCCAACTCCTGGGCTCAAGCGAGTCTCTTGCCTCTGCCTCCCAAGTAGCTGGGACCACAGGCGCCCGCCACAACGCCCAGCTATTTTTTGGTTGCAGCCGTCATTGTTGTTTGGCGGGTCTGGGCTGGGGATTCGAACCCGCCACCTTAGGTGTACGTGGCTGGTGCCTTAGCCGGTTGTGGTATAGGCGCCGAGCCTGTGTTCTGTTCTTTTGCCTGTTGGTGCTGTTTTGAGCAAGTCTGAATATAAGCAGGCAAGTCTTTTCCACCTCCTTCCAAATAGCCTTGGCTGTTCTTTGCCTTTTGCTTTTTCTTGTGAATTACAGGATCAATTTATCAAGTTCCACAGAAAAATATGATGGGATTTTTATGAATTGTACTGAATTTCAGATTTATAGGAGAGAACTGACTTCAATATTTAAGCTTCCATTTACAAACATAATTTTTCAGGTTTTTTTCATGTCCTACAATGATCTTTCATAACTTTTTTTTTTAATAAGGGACTAGCATAGCACATTTTTTGTTAGATTTATGTCTAAGTAATATATAGTTGTGTCTATTGTGACTAGAATCTTGTTTTCTATTATATTTTACAGCTGGTTTTACTAGTATGCAGAAATGCTAATGACATTTTAATGTTAATTTTGTATCCAGTCTCCTTGCTGAACCCTCTTAATAATTATAATAGTTTGTCCATAGAATCTGTTGGATTTTCTGTTTGGAAAGTGAAAGTATGTTCATATAAAGACAGTTTGTCTCTTCTTGATTCATAAGAATTTTATTTTTCTTGCCTCGTAATGTTGGCTGAGATCCCCATAGTGCTGACCAGAGGTAATAATACTGTCTTGCTTCTGATTATGCGATGGCTTCTGTTATTTCACCACTGTGATACTGTGGGGTTGTGACAATGGCTTCCTATCAGGTTAATGATGTTCTCTAGCCCTTGCTAGGTTGTGTTTGTTTCACTCATGACTTAGTGTTAATTTTGTAATGCTCTCTCTGCTTCTGATTTTTCTCCTTTAATATGATGGGTTTCATTAGTGGGTATTCTGATGTTAAGCCAGAATACTTACGTTCAGGAACACACCCTTCCTGGTCATCATGGAGTGTCTGTGTGTGTTCCCACCCTTCATGTCACCGTGGAGGGTCTGTGTGTGTTCTCGCCTTTCCTGGTCATCGTGGAGTGTCTGTGTGTGTTCCTGTCCTTCCTGGTCATCGTGGAGTGTCTGTGTCTGTTCCTGCCCTTCCTGGTCATTGTGGAGTGTCTGTGTGTGTTCCATACACTACTTGATTCAGTTTGCTTGTATTTTTACCTAGTATTTTAATAAAAAGTGTCAATCTAAAATTTTATTTTATGCTTTTCCAGTGTTTCAGGATACTAGGATTAGCCTCATAAAATTAGACTAGTAGCTTCTTGCCCCCCCCCCATTTTGTTTTAGTCTCTGAAAAAGTTTGTATAGGTCTGTTTCTTGTAGGTTTGATAATATTGGCCTGAGAAACCTTCTAGGTCTGGTATTTTCTTTGGGGAGTGATGGTGGCAGAATAACCAATTGTTACTATTGATTTAATTTATTTAGATTGGTTTTTAGAAATTCCTTCTTGAATCAATATTGAAAATTTATAATATTTTTACAAATTATTTAATTTATCTGATTTTTTATGTTTTAATATGAACTTGCTCATAGCATTATCTTAGAAATTTAAAAAATCTCTCTTGGCTCAGCACTTATGGCTCAAGTGGCTAAGGCGCCAGCCACATACACCTAAGGCGGCGGGTTTGAATCCAGCCCCGGCCCGCCAAACCAACAATGATGGCTGCAACCAAAAAATAGCCGGGCGCTGTGGCGGGCACCTGTGGTCCCAGCTACTTGGGAGGCTGAGGCAGGAGACTCTCTTGAGCCCAGGAGTTGGAGGTTGCTATGAGCTGTGATGCCACAGAACTCTAACCTAGGGGGATAGCTTGAGGCTCTGTCTCAAAAAAAAAAAATCTCTCCTGAATTATGTCCCCTCCTTAATTCTCCCGTAGCAGGAGACCCCTGAGTGCTGGCCTGGGGTTATGTCCCATCCCAACCTCATACTACTCTGGGTTTCCATGATATAATAGAATAGTAGAAACTAATTTAAATCTAACCTGACACTCTTACTGCTTAATAGGACTATGGTCCGTTTTCCTGATTGTAAATATAAATATGTGTTCATTGTTTTAATAATTAGAATATATAAAAATATAAATAAGAACATTAAAAACAATCACATCACTTAATATTTTGGTATATATCTAGTTTTTGCCTGTTTATATACATCACATCTACAAACACATTTTTGTAAACTTAGAGATAGTACTACCATGTCAATGTTATAAGCATTTGCCTGTACCATTACTATTTACAGGCATGTTTTTAAATGGCTGTATAATATTCCTCTGTCCCATGTACTACTGTGTATCTAAAATGTTTTTAGCAAATATCCTAGTTTTGATCATTTGGGCCATGGTATCTCTAGTGATTCCTTACACCAAATTCTTAGAAGTGAATTTCATGGGGCAAAGGATGTGCGTGTTTCCAAGGACACCAGGTGACTTTCATCTGTCCTCTTTGCAGCAGCCCACTCACCCCGTGTACAACATTGGACCAGACAAGGTGATCCAGGCCACCACGTACTTTCTGCAGAAGCCAGTCCCAGGCTTCGAGGAGCAAGAGGATGAGGCAAGAGCAGAGCCTGCAATGGACTAGATGCATAGTACATTGTGTGCTACACAAGCCTTAGCCACTACGGAGCTGTGGTTCTCTCTGTCCTTTCTTGTCAAACAAAACAAAACCAATGGCTCTAGGTTTGGAGAACACAGCAGTGTGGTTATTAAAATTCTTTCCACCTGTCAAAATGAAAATCTGTGACCTGCAAGGAGCAGCTGGGGAGCAGTGCATGCTGGGAGGAAGCAGCCTCTCCCCGCCCGCTTGCAGCCTGGGCAGTCATGTTGCGATGAATGGTGTCTGTGAGTCTTACAGCACCCAGAGCACTGCTGTTACTCCCACTCGCATGCCACCATTAAATCGCCAAACAGGGTCTTTCCTGTGGGTGGAAATAAGTCTGTTTCATGCCAAGATTGGGGGCTTTGGGTCCCACCAAAATGAATTCTCTGGAAAAGACTATGGTGGAGCTGCAGCAGAAGATGCCTCTGCCTCTCACCTCCCTCCCTGGTCATCTGCAAGGGAAAGGAGCTGGGGGTATGGGGAGAAAGGTCTCGATTTGAGAGTCCTTCCCCCTCAACACAGGGGGACTGATCCACACGTGTGGACTGATCCACACGTCGCTCCAAGGCCTGGTACACGGCAAGACTTGCTTCAGCCCAGGTGTGGTGACTTATACCAGGAAACGAATTATGAGTGCAAAACCAGCCTCTCGTCCAGCTCTGTGCCAGAGGAAGCAGCCCCCAGGGCCTCCCATCATGTACCATGGAAACCCCTGATGTCCTCAAGGTAGCACCTGTAGCCCGTGACCATTCTGCCTGTTTCCGTCCTCCTCCCAGCAGACTCCCAGCCCACCCTGCTCCAAGATAGTGTTGTCTTTTCTCACCCAGAGTATTAACACTACTAAGTCTCTCTCCTTAATTTATGACTCAGGATTTATTCACATCCTACCCGCTCCAGGCTCACAGAAATCGAATCAAGTGCTATACAAGCTGACTGTGGTGGCAGCAGGGGGGACGCTGCCTGGCCTACTGGGCCCTGCCAGTGCCTCTGCTGCTCCCCACAGAGCCCTTCCTCGGTCACTGAGGTATTGAGTTGGGTCATCTGTCCACTGCTGCGGTCACAGCAGACCCCTGTCACTGACTCAGTCTTCATGTAAGCAGCTGTGGGCAGGCAGGAGCTTGGAGATGCAGCATGAGGCTTTTCTCAAAAAAAAAACAAAAAACAAAAAACAGGCCATTTGCTGCCTCTAATTCCCTATTGCTTTGGTATATTGGGCTATGTATTTACCTAATAAAAGAATAGCATTTTCTATGCTGTCTCTTACTTGTGATTTGTACCAAGAAAATGCCTTCAGAATGCCCAATGTGAGTTCTTAAAGGTGGTTCACAGCCAGTCTCCTACGAATGGGTGAGATTCCAGACCCTTTGTGCTGGTGATTACCAGGAGGTACAACATGAGCTCTGCTCTCACACCACCCTCCAGTAGAAGCAGGGGGCCTAACAAGGAGCAGGAAGAGTTGTTTTTCAAGCTCTCTGGACCAACTCATGTGCTTGGGCCCAGCTCTTCACACATTGCATTTCATGGTCTGTATTTCTGACCTATGAGCAGGGACAGTGCTGCCATAGCCCCATGGTGGGAATTCAGCAAGGGTGGGTGGGAGTCCTGTGGAGGCAGAAGCTGTCACAGGGACAGGTTGGAATGCTATGGTGACTTCCCCCTCATCTGGCAAGAGACCCTCTCCCAAGGGAGCCCAAGAACTCAGGTGCCCTGTGCCCTGGCACTCCCGGAGGAGAGAGAAGAGAGTCCTCAAAGGACACTGAAGCCCACATCTGGGAATGTGACTTCTGCCTCCTGTGCTATAATTGATCTGCAAAGCAACACATTCAAATGTGTCTTTTCTCTCTATAACAAGGCAACACCCCCTCAGCACCAGAAGCCTCAAGATACTGAGATTAATTGCAGTAATAATTGGTGTGGTTGGCTCGGTGCCTGTGGCTCAAGCGGCTAAGGTGCCAGCCACGTATACCTGAACTGGTGGGTTCGAATCCAGCCCGGGTCCGTCAAACAACAATGACGGCTGCAACCAAAAAATAGCTGGGTGTTGTGGCAGGTGCCTGTAATCCCACCTACTTGGGAGATGGAGGCAGGAGACTCGCTTGAGCCCAGGAGTTGGAGGTTGCTGTGAGCTGTGATGCCATGGCACTCTACCCAGGGTGATAGCTTGAGGCTCTGTCTCAAAAAATAATAATAATAATCGGTGTGGTTAAAAGACAGAGATACTCCCTTAGTCTGAACTAGCTTTATACCAAGGAGGTGAGATTAGAGCTGGTCCCTTAAGGAAAAGTAAAGCTTGAGCAGGTAGGGAAGAGTCGTGTTTGGGAACTGGTACTGTTATCTCACGGGAATTTACACTGACATATCCATGAGACCTCCATTTCTGGAGGGTTTCCTGACTTAAACAGTCTTCATGGGGGGTGCTAGAGATAAATCCTCAGATTTATATGTGGATCCTTGAGGAGAAGACACTTTTTACAGAGCATTCACAGTGGGTTACCCCAAATATTTTCCCATATCAATAAATACAAAACTACTGCAGATCTCTGTATCCTGATGGGCCCCCACTCTTAGGGCCCACCTCAGATCTACCTTGAGCATACAAGGTGGGAAGCCTGCCAGGACTGCTGGAGCAGAGAGATGACCACACACATTAGACATCCCCAGACTGCCCATTCATTCCCTGTGATGTCATTGAGCATTCTTCTTTCATGGCCAGGATGCTTTCCAGGAAATACTAGTGTCAAATGACAATTGAACTTGGTCAGAAAACTTGGATCAAACATTCGTCACCCATATGCACTGGTTGGTGGCACTTACTGCCTCTAACTAGGAAGGAGACTATAGTATGTTTTTCTTTTTTGCGGTTTTTTTGGCTGGGGCTAGGTTTGAACCCACCACTTCTGGTATATGGGTCAGGTGCCCTACTCCTTTGAGCCACAGGCACCTCCCATGAGACTAGTATGTTTTAAGACCCTGTGGCAATGGATAGAAAACCTGAGCCAAAGTGGCTTAAAGCAAAGAGGAAATATGTTGATTCTGAAACTGAAAAGTCCAGGAATTAGGTTGGCTGGAGGAGGGGTTCTCTCCCCCATCTCAGTTCTGACCTCAGGCTCCCTCTACATGGCCAACATGGCAGCAATGGGTCCAGCCCCTACCACCCTCCTGGGTTAAGTTCAGCAGATGAGCTCCTGGCACTGTCCCAGACCTCCTTCCTGATAAGTGCCATCACGTTTCACTGGCTTGATCAAATCGAGTGCCTTTCTGAGAAGCAATCCAGCAGCCAGGAGAATACAGGGGCACTCACTGACAACCATGTGCTTCTCCTGCCCGGGAAATGGGGCTTCATCAAAAACATGTAGTTCAGGCGGCTGCTGTGGCTCACTGGGTAGGGCCCTGGCCCCATATACTGAGGGTGGCAGGTTCAAACTTGGCCCCAGCCTAACTGCAATAAAAAGAGCCGGATGCTGTGGCGGGTGCCTGTGGTCCCAACTACTCTGAAGGCTGAGACAAGAGAATCACCTTAGGTGATGCTAAGGAGTTGGAGGTTGCTGTGAGCTGTGACACCACGGCATTCTACCAAGGACGACAGACTGAGACTGTCTCAAAAACAATAAACATGTTGTCTTACGAATGGGGAAGGAATGACACCCCAAATGCAAACCAGGGTCGTTTGCCAGAAAAGGACATGGATGCTAGAGAGGTGCCCACTCCCTTCCCCGGGCTGGGGCCAGTCATTCTGTCTGCCTCTGTCTCAGTAGTTTGTTCAGGTTGGAGGTAACCCAGGACTAAACCAGTCAGCTTGTCGTAGCTTCAGCAACTGATTCCGAGCCAAGTGTGTAATCTAAAATAGTCCAGAGAGAGAGAAGTTCTGGATGGTGGATGATGGGAAGAGCAGATCTTTCCTATTAGGGGTGGTAGAATGTGCGGCCTGGGACTCCTGTGACTGCTTCCTACCTAGAAGCCAGCTGAGCAGCCAGGAGAGACTGAGAAACACGGTCACTTGGGCCGGTTTGAGTTAGCTTTACTACTACTTAACAACTGAAAGCATCTTAGTACAGTCACGTGTCACCTGTGACGGGATACACTGAGAAGTGTTAAGAGATTTGAGTGAGCGTATCGTGGCATGTGTTCACACAAGGCCCGATGGTACGGGCTCTACACCTGGACAGCACATTATGGTACTGAGTGCTGTGGGCAATGAATCGTTGCAAGGATTTGTGTAAACATATCTAAACACAGAAAAGGCACAGTAAAACTGCAGCATTATAGCCTTACAGATCACCACGTACATGCAGCCCATCTTTGGCTGAAATGTCCTTATGTTGTGTGTGACTGTATACACAAAACTTTGCTCCAGATTAGCCATGAGGCCTGCTACTTAAGAAACACTGACTACCCTCTCACAGCTGCCCAAACAATGATGCCTTATTGTCCCTTCTGGTCTGCCACTTCATTTGACCCCTGACTCAACCTCAGGAGGTGGGCGAGGTAGGTGTGTCATCTGCATTTTACAACTGGAGAAACCGGTCAGAGAGCTTCAGTGTCCCACCAGAGGGCTCCCAGCTACCCAATGCAGGAGATGCAGGAGTCTCCCGCCCATGGTCTTCTAGCACCCTGGCTTGTGGAGGTGAAAGGGGGAGTCTCAGGGAACAGGGACGGCAGTTAACATGTATGGTTTGCCTCCAGGCTGGGTGGCAGGCTCTGAATACCGGCCCCCATCTCTCCCTGGGATGGGAATGGGTAGCAGCAAACCACAGGGCAAGCACCTCATCCTTCTTGTGGGTCACCCACTGTCTGCCAAGTGCGTGCTGCCCCTACACAGAGTGTGACATCTTGCGACTCACGGTGAGGCCCTGGTGAGTCAGTCTTCTTGGGAGCTGGGTTTGAACCCACCACCCTCGGTATATGGGGCCGGTGGCCTACCCACTGAGCCCTGGGCGCCACCACATCAGGAAGTTTTTCATTGGCACCTGTGTCCCTTTGACATACCCCTACTTTCTTATTTCAGTATTAACAATGCATTTTAGTCATCTCTTTTCTGTCAAGAAGTATATAGCATGCTGATAATCATTCACACAAGGTAGCAGGCACATTTGGGTTCAATACACTGTTCTCTCAAACTTTGATCACGTTTCATCCCATAATGAGCGTTGGGTTTGGTTACCCTGGGTATAGGAGACTTTGTTGCCACTTGCTGTACTTGTGATTGCCCAGGCTGAAGGGATAAAGGAGGTGACAACAGACCCAGAGCAGGGCTCAATGTCTCCTCTCTCTCAAGGCAGAAGGGCTACAGGGGCCCTGCTGACCAGTGGTGGCATCCAGGAACCCTGTGAGGGAGGTGATGCTGTGCTCCTTGCCAGGGTCTCTCTCTCAAGCCCCCCCCCCCACCTCCTACCTCTCTGGAGCAGTGGCTACCATGTGCCTGGGCACCAGGTCCCTGTGAATATGGTGGAGCAGTAACTG